TAATAATTACAAGAAAACAGTTTTAAAAAAACACCTTGATCTCGACTATGATGAGGGTTGTCACATGAAATTTAGTATCAATTGATTGTCTAAAATATGTAGCGACAATATTTTATTCCCTTCTAATTGCAACCTTACGAAGAAATAATGAGATAAAATGAGCTATCATCATCATCACCACAAGTCTTTTTACCTGCATGATTTATGGAGTATATTTAAAAAAAATGATGGTTTGAAATAATTGTTATAGTCATGTCCTATCACAAGACTGAATTACTGATGCTGCAAATTAAACATAAAAATCTTGTAACATGACCGAGAACAATGGAATCCTTACATCATAATATCATATTACTTTATTTGAACATAATGCCACCAAACACCTCTAATGGATTTTGAAATCTGTTTACTTATCTTTTCAAATCATGATATTTTTTATGGGAAATAGTCTCCAATGTTAATACATAAGGGAGGCTTCCTTCACACCCCTAACTAAAGTAATGTATCCCAAAAGTATGTACTCTGGTATTGGGGACTTACCTTCAAACTGCTGCTTCAAACTATTTATGCTGGTTCAATTGGTTTTGTAGTTGTGGTGATGGTTCTATTGGATTTCATCCGCAGAGAGTCTCAAATCATCAATGCATGAACATGAAGTTACTTCTTAGACAGCATCAAAAGGTAATTGTTGATACATGCTCCAAAATTGATAAGACTTTACTAAAGCTATACACCACGAATAAACTTAGTGCATGATTTTCAAAGGGGTTTGAGGCAGTGAGGCTTAAAGATGGTGAAATTAGGCCTCAAAGGCGAAGGTCTCATTTTTGTAATTTGAGGCTTACGCCTCGTGTGGATGAGGTGAATCAAGGTGTGTGAGGCGCAAGGCTTAAAGGAGGCTTAAGCCTCTGATTTTATCAGGAATTTATGAATGTAATGGGTGATTTTTAAAAGCTATTGGGCCAAGATGTTCATTACTTTTTTTCTTTGTTTTTTATCTTTCTACCAATTAAATACTCTCCATTTCTCTTTGTATTCATGGATTTTCACTTTTTTTCACTTAAGTTGAACAAATGTTGGCCATCATTTAATTAAAATTGCATTGCATAATATTACAAAAATCATTTCCTTATATTTGTTGGAAACAACTTTCACAAAATTATTATATCATAAACTTTTCAAATTTACTATTATAGATAAAAGCAATTATGTTCAACTATAAGACCGTGAAAAGTCTAACGGAACGAATACACTCGGATAATTGTAGTAGTAAATACAAACCTAGATTTATATTGATATAACCTAGGAGTTGATTAAAAAAACCATCACCCTCTTTTGTTTCTTTTTTTGTCTGTCTTCTACTTCACTCTTGTCTAGTAAATATAAACCTAGATGCAGTTAATAAACCTAGTACATCACATATTTTATCTCTACCTGCTTACGATTGATTATTTATTTTGCAGTCTTTTAAACAATGACTATGTATAGCTGAATATTTTTTATTTGTAAAGGTTGAATCAAGCATTTTGTTGTATTTATCTATTACTATTTTATTTAATTAAATTGGGGCTTACGCATTGCTATGCCTCGAGGCACACACCTCATGTAATAGAGTCCCACCGCCTCGAGGCTGGATTTTGCCTTTCAAAACCTTTCTAGAGTGAATCCTTTACAAAATCTTTTTCGCTAGATATGCACAACACTCTCCCAAGGGAACTACCCTTTTATAGACTTAGTCTTTGTTTGGTTGAGAGATTTAGGGGAAAAGAAAATTGTTTTTGAAAGGAAATAAAGCAAAGTTACTTAAACGACTAAACCAACCTAAATACTACCCCACGACATATTAAACGACCATTATTCCCCAGAAGGCCAGAAGCAACCCTTAATAACACCACTAAACCAATTGTCATCCTAGTCACATGGGAAGATGATTTTGGGACGAAGGGAATATACTTTAATTACACTTTTTATATTCAGGTTCTTCTTGGAAGATCTGATATTGCTGGATGGGGAGCTTTCTTAAAGGTACAGCACTACAGGAGTCTTTTGCTTTTAAACTTAGTGGCTGTAATCATAGATTTGTATTTTGATACATTCAGAATAGTGTAAAAAAGAATGATTTCATTGGGGAGTACACTGGTGAAGTAATCTCACACTTTGAAGCTGATAAGCGCGGCAAAGTCTATGATCGTGAAAATTATTCATTCCTATTCAATCTCAATGACATGGTACGATGTACTTTTCACCTACTAGCCTCTAAAACACACACTCTCTCTCTCACACACAGACAGAGGATCAAATGCATCGATGATGTGTGTAAAATTGAAATATAGCACGAATCATCCAAATTAAAAACAATAAACGACTCAAATTGAACTTTCTTTAACCGTAACAATTTTTTACCCACGTTTGTGTGTGTGTTTGTGTGCATGATTATATATATGTTTGCCGCCTTATCTATTGGCTCAATTGCTTTTTTGTTTTGTTTGTATACAGCTTGTTGTTGACGCTTACAGAAAGGGAAACAAGTTGAAGTTCGCCAATCATTCTCTTCAACCAAACTGTGTTGCAAAGGTAAACTACTGAATCTGCAATGTTTAAGACATTAAATTAAAACGGTCATCTTCTATGATGCGTCTGCTTCCTTTTTCTTTTTCATTAAACCAATAATAACAATAATGTGCCTAGTGGGTGGTCATTTTGATAATAGGTTGTCATGGTGGGAGGAGATCACAGGATCGGCATATATGCATCGACACCAATCGACCCTGGAGATGAGCTGCTTTATGACTACCGATATGAACCTGACAGCTGTCCTGCCTGGGCAAAGGGCCTTATGGGGCCCACCAGCTCTAAGAAAGAAGTTTCTCGACCTTCGGGTAATCGTGCCAAGAAGCATACATAGTATGCTTCGTGCTTCTACGTTTTCACCATTTCCCATAGTAAAACCTCCACTCTCATTGCCAGCAATTTTATACATACATACATACATACATACATACATACATACATATATATATATATATATATATATATATATATATATATATATATATGCATCCATGCTTTCCTCTCTTTGATTTGATTTGTGAATTTCGACACCACATCCATTCATTTTAATTTTCAAGCAAGATCATCTTTTTTCATCGAATATATAGATATATATATTGTTGTTCAAATGCCAGCAAAACCTGGCAATACTTTGTTGGCAATAATAATTTCTTATTCACCAGTTCAAGGTTTGTACTTGTAAGTTTTACGTAATAAATTGTATTGCTTTGTCATTGCAACTAGCGGGGAGCGGTGTTTGGCTTTAATTGTGGTTCGGTTTATTCTTTTGATTTAGGATTGTAATGTTCTTGTGTATGACAAAATGCTTGTTTTTCAAGTGTTTGCAATTGCTTTTGGTGTACTTCTGTCCTGATTTAAGTTTTACTCGTATGTTGTTAATGATGTTTGGCTAAAATTGTATTTATTCAATTTATTTGAAGATTCTTGTGGAATTGAAAATTAAAAATTTTATACGATGTAAAAAGTAGGTCAAAAGTTATACTATGAATCAAGAGGTGACTTGACTACGTTATTCTATCAAATGAAACAAAAATGGACATAAAAAATGTTAATGTTTGATCATATGAATAGTGAACATACAACTTAAATTGGGATATTGGGCAACTATTAAAAAATCACCTAAAACTATTGTGTTTGGATCATTTGGTTTAGCTTGTTACTTGTACTATAGAATAGACCAACAAAAAAGGTGATGGGTGAAATAGGCTATATTAGGTACCGGAGTATGTTCTTTTTCGTGAACCACAAAAATATTTGTATTGTAACAAATGTTGCATAAATCTTTGTACTCCTAAAAATAAGTGTTGTAATGAGACGACATGATGAAATTGCATGTGCATTTTTTTCCTATTTTGAGCTACATAGGCGGCTCTGCTTTTTCGGTTGAAATTCTAAAATTGAATGTTGCAAGAAACGAGTTAAAAGTTTGGATATATAACATTATTGTATAGTAATCATATGTAGGTACATTTTTCAAGTTGTTGGAAAAATTGGAAAAAACTCGAAGTTAGAAGAAATTAGAAAAGATTCAATATTAATTTGGGTACGGTATTCTGGGTTGAGGTGTTATACAGGAAGGCATAGAGTGGGTCTGAGCTTGAGACGCGTCTTGGGAAGAGCTTTGAGAAGTGACTCGGTGAGCCACAGAATTGCTTCAAGACAAAATCCTCTTGCATTCTAGCTTCATTTCCATCAAGTCCTTCGTCGTTGGCTTTACAATCAAGAAACCGTAAAGGGAAGTTCAAAAAACGAAAGAATAAAGACTAATGGAAAAAAAGCGTCGATACACCTCCAGCACTCTAAATAGGGATGCCTCAAGCCCGACTCTAGATCGGACATTGTTGGGGAGGGGCCAAAGAAGGTAATAGGGAGTGAGAGTTGCGCATGTAGTCCGAGGACTTGAAAGCTTGTACGTGAGGATGCAATAAAGACCCTCGCGGATGAGTCGTGAGATCTTCCCGGACATTATCTAGGGGACCCCGAATTCAGAGAAGAATTCCACATAGAGATAGATGGAGCCATTTAGAAGAGACATTTCGAACCACATGTTCTTTTTTTTTCTAAAAAGAATAGGAAAATGTAAACTTTATTTAGGGAGATTTTTTATACTCCCTCTGTCCCCCTAAAATGTTCTCATTTTGACTTTTGGTGGTTTTTAAGGAAAGTTGAAAAAAGATGAAAATTTACCATAATACCCTTAATGAAAAATGGGTGGAATGTATTAAATGAGGTGGGTGAGGTGTAATAAATAAAGTAAGTGAGAGTAGTTGTGGTATTTTAATTGTTAAAAAATGAAATGAGAAGATCTATTGCGGACAAAGAAAAAAAGCTATTGAGAAGATCTATGAGAGACGGAGGGAGTATTATAATTTTATTGCCAGAGAAAAGAGAAAAATGCAAAAACACTGATCAATTAACTATGTGTTGAATCAGGTAGCTGGCTTTTAATATGAGCTATAAAGTTGAATACATACATATACATCATCATATGCACAGTTGATTTGACTTTAGAGAGCAGCAGATTGATTAAACGTCGACCGTCAGATTTCTCAGCTGCACCCATCCATAACCGCAACGATTCCGCAACTTCTCTATAGTCGAAGATGCGGTCTTAACCAGAGGCCGGATTTCCGCCATCTCCTTCTCCACTTGCACCTTCATCTTTGCATCCACCTGCCAATTCCCCCATCATCATCAATGTTCATATTAGTAATCTAGCCGCAGCGTGTTCGGATCCTAAAAAAAGTAAATTTCATAAATGGTCCCATATAACATGTGAAGTTTCATATTTAGTCCTTAATTTTAAGATATTACATTCATAGTCCTCAATTTTTGAAAACTATTCCCTAAAATAATCCTTTAGACCTCAAAGGACTAATTATTGAATAGTTTTCAAAAACTGAAGACCACAAATGTAATAACTTAGAATTAAAGACTAAATACGAAAAATCACCTGTTATAAGGGATCATTTATGAAATTGACTCTTCCAAAGAAAATGTGTATCATGGAACATAAAGACTAGAGAATGCTACAAAAAACTATAGTTATTTTATGATTGATCCATGTTTCTTGATTTCTTGCTTAATCTGTATATAATAAAATTAAATAGATAAAAGATATGAAGAGAATGAGAGCCAGAAAGAGATGAGTGAAACAAACACCTTATTAATGCAACGCTCGGTGTCCAAAATGTGGCAGAAATACGAAAGCTGTTTGTACAGATCTCCTTCTGTATACTGCCCAATGCATTTTTCCGACAAGTTAACCTCTCAAATATGGGGATGAAGTAAATAAAATAAAATATGGTTTGGAGGCTGCAAGAATACCTTTCTTTGGAGGCGACCTTCACACCGAGGGTAGTTTGGGCAAACAGTTCCTCGCTCCGAGTCACCAATTACCCGCAGGTTCAGGCTGCGACCGCTATAGTTGCATGTTTCATCATCACACTGGATGTTTGTTCCCAAAATTAGGATTTAGGATTTGACATAAATATACACACACACACACACATATATATATACACACATTTTTTTAAGGTTGTAAATGCATTTATACCAGCATCAATCCTCTATAATATGTTGAGATAAACCCCTCAGCTTGCCTCTTCACCTGCCAGCAGCAAATACATGCATGGTTTTCTCAGAACATAGGAATATCAGAGATTACCAGGCTATGCCCGGCAATAAGCTAGCTTTTAGATTATTTTGGTTGAGATGCTTTTTTTATACTCCATAGGTTTTAGATGGTTTTACAGGTTTTTAGGCTATCGTTGAAAAAAAACAAACTTAGAAGCTATTTTCCAGTTGATGGCTTATAAGTTAATTTGCATTTTATAGCTGATAAACATGATACAAATTTAATGAACAAGCTAGTTTCTTTCGAAGTTATCCGCTACGTTTATCAGCTTTCATTTTATTTTGCATTTCGAAGTTATCCGCTACGTTTGTCACACACTATTATTGAGAACAGAAAGATTAACTCATAAGCTATACTCCCCCGTCCCAATTTGTTGTGAAAACTTTACTCTGCCCAGGAATTAAGGGAGTGAAAATCATGTGATTATACTTATGAAGAGTTGAAGAGGAAAGAGACAATGTGAACCGCCAACTGCAAAATACCTCCTGTCTCTATAAATAGATATATAGGCACAATGAATTAGGACGGATCAAGAAGAAAAACAAACACAACAAATGGAAACAGAGGAAGTAGCTTATAGGCTCCTAATATACCCGTCAACAACAATCAAGCTATTTGTTTTGTCAAGGCAACGTGCCAACATGTAAACATGGGTTTCCCAGCAGACTAGTCCTACATATGTAAGTTCCTGGAGCTTATAAACCATATAACCAGACATGGTAATCTGAACCTATGGATGCGTTGATTATGTTGACCAAGTCAGAATCCAACAGGTCAGACCATCAGTCGATGGTCCTTACTGCGCGAAATGAGAATCTGCATTTTCAGGCCACCATGATGTATATTACACTTGTAGTCATGCATTTTCGACAAAGACAAAAACGTTTGATGTATGTATGTATGTATGTATATGTATAGAAGAGAGAAGAAGAAGAGTTTTTACCTGGTTTGCTAAGCAAGAAGGCTGCAGTTTGCCTGCACCGGGCTCCTTTGGGCATTTGGGACACTGTAACTTGTGCCAAAACTCAATGGCAGGCCTTTCTGCCTGCAAATCTGTTGGCTTCTGACTTATGGAGGAACATACGGAATTGAATATAGGTGGACATTCAAGGGAAGTAGAGCAGTCGGGGCACACCATGATCAGTGGTTCACACCCTCGATATCTTCAAGTTTTGATCATATAGAAAGCATACATTTCAGGAAATATGTGTCAACACTTGCCCCGTAATAAATAATAATGATATTCTTCTCTTACAAAAAAATAATATAAAAATACTCTGTAGAAAATAAATTTATTACCTTTCCACATCATCAACTGCACACAAAAGTGAACTTGAAGGATCATCATCGATGGTGTTGCTTAATTTGCTTTGGAACTGAAAAGGATCACAACATATTTTGATATATGAAGAAAACAAATATTAAAACAATGAGCCTCACCTTTTAACCTATGGTTTCAGGAAAATAGAAAAAAGTTTTACCTTGGATGCATCAAGACCTAAGCAAACAGCCAAATGAGCAGGACTGGTTCCCTGGACCGGAGCACACAGTCGTGCTACCACAGGATGTATCTGTCATAAATAGTTAAATGCTGAATTAGAGAATATTCCCTTATATACCCCCACGATTACTAAGTAATTTTCACCTAATATCCCTGGCTTTCATTCAGGTGAAAAAATTTACTCCCTTCGTCCCACAATTGATTACAATTTTTTTACACCAAGTTCTTGATAACTTTTGTTTATTTGTGTATTTTCATTGATTATTTGATAAAATAAAATATTCTTGTCACCTCTTGTTTTATAGAACTTTTGACATAGTTTTTAAATATTTAAGTTTTATTTTTTATTCTTATACCAATTTTTAAATAAAATGATCTCAAAAGACTAGGTTTTACCTTGTAAACCAAAATTGTAATCTTATATGGGACGGAGTTCATGAATTGGCCAGTAACTCCAATAAGTGATCGTTGGGACCAAATATAACAAAAAAATGTAAAGGCGTTCATCAAATGTGAGAAAATTAGTTGACAACCAAAAGAAAAAAACCAGGTTCAATGTCTAATTCAGTATAGAGCAAAAGACCTGCTGTGCAAGGTAATAATCAATGTCAATTGTCCATTTTCCATTTCCATTCTTCAGTTCATCAGGGTGCCTTGCCCGCTGAGCAATCCCCACAGAGCTACCCGTAGAGTTTCCCTATTGACACGAAGCAGAAGACAAAATTCGATATTTGTGTTCACTGTAGTAAATGACATTGAAAAGAAGCAATGTAGAAAAGAGTAAGAGCAGTAAGGCATTGGAAACCTGCTCACAGCAGATGATATAGGGCACAGTATCACCAGCAGAGCAGCCAGTAATGTAACCACTTTTCTTCAACCTAAGAGCAACCTGCATACAATGCAAAATTGTAATAATAATAATATTAACTGTGATAAAAAACCTTGAAGAGAAAACGGACATGAAGCATAAATAATATGAGTTGATTCGACTAATTTCTAGATGATAAAATCATGCCAGCTTTCAGACATAGACTTACTTCAACATGAGGTTGACTCTTTGAATCAGGATAGGCTTCAGGTGATTTAGTTAATGATTTGGTTATTATATACTTCTCCAGATCTACTTGTCCATTCCTCATATCCTCCTGAACCTGACATCAAAGAAGTACCGGATTGATCAATTACATTTAGTATTTATAATTAGATTTAAAAATCAGTCCTTTGCAATACTGAAATTCGGTTAAGTGACCTAGAAGATAGCTAAAGGGAAAATAAGATGAGGAAAAGGAGTGAACATATATTCACTCATCATTGCCACATTCAAACTTATCTCTTTAGACTGTTGGAAAGAAGGTTTAGGGTTGCTTGGAGCTGATGTTGCTCCCCCATGGAGGAATCAGAATCAAAACCATTTTTTGGATGTTTAAATGGTATTTGAGAATCACTTTCCAGGGTGTGAGAATCAGTTTTGGAAAGGGAGGGGGGTAGACTTCTCCAAACTGGTTTCATTGTTCCAAAAAAGACATCAATCAAATACCATATTTGACACAATCATTTCAAAATTAAAATTGTGAGTAAATAAAAGAAAACAAACATTAGATACATACCAATATATTTTTGGTTATTTTTAAAAAGAATCAATTTTTTTAGCTAGGGGTCTCTTGGAAACAGCCTCTATTTCCGAGTAGGGGTAAAGTCTGCGTACACACACCCTCCCCAGACGCTACTTCCGTGGGATCGTACTGGGTTCTTGTTGTTGTTGTTTAAGAAGAATCTGTTTAAAACATGTCTCCCAGACCACCACTACACGATGATTCTCTATTCCATAGAACCGAGAAGTTTCCAACACTTCAAAAAGAATCACTTTCATGAAACTTTTATTCTTATTTCTGAATACTAAAAAATCTTATTTCTGAAAAAAAAAAGGAATGAATATCAAATACCTCCTTAGACCAAGTAAATTTGAAGCTCAACATTATCTTAATTGCAACTTAAAGAACCACCAATTGGTTATGTTGATATTTCATTTTAGTCTCTCTAACTGTATAGGTAAAGTACTTGCTGCTTTATCTGTGTTATACTGTGATTCTTATCATATTTTTTGTGCAGCTGGAGCCGGGGGTCTCTTGGAAACAGCCTCCCTACTTCCGAGTAGGGGCAAGGTCTGCGTACACACACCCACCCCAGACCCTACTGTAGTGGGATTCAACTGGGTTGCTATTGTTGTTGTTGTAACTGTATAGGTAAGGGTAAGGTCTCTGTACACACCCCCTCCCCCTCCCCCCCCCAACACCCCAATTCTCCCTCCAAGCCCCACTTGTAGGACTTTCGTGGGTAGGTTGTTGTTTTAAGCATAGAACAGTACCTTTATTAAAGCATTATGAATTGATTGAACAACATCCTCACAAGATCTGCAAGCAATAAACAGCTTGATCATCATGTGTTACAATTACAACTGAAAGAAAGCAAATCTCTGTAGTTTACTAAGATTTGTACCCTCCAGATAGAATTTGACTAAGGCAGAAATCTCCCAATTCCTTTGATATCAAGCTCCAGTCACGACGAACCATATCAAGACCTTTCTTTTCAATGTCCTGGGTGGTATAGCAACATTATAGCAAGCAGGTGGTTAGAAATTCCAACAAGAAACCGAATAATTTAATCTTAAAAAAGAGTATCACACTACCTCATAAAATTTCCCATCCTTAAATTGAACTTTTACTGCAGCATATTTCTTTTTCTTGAGTAGCAGCATTCTTTTGTAAAGCCCATCAAGATCAATTTCCAAACATTTATATTTCTTGTTAACCTATAAAAGAATAGTTACCAACACGGTATACAAAGTTTCATGGCAGTTTTAAAGAAAACCCCCAAACATTACCAAGGAGATGAACTCAACCTAAAAAAACTAATGAGCAAAACAGAACATGCCTGATCAATAACTTTTCTTGCTATTGATGTTGCTTTTGAAATATCATCAACCCCACTATAAATCATGATCGAATCAGTATCACCATAAATAACCTGACACATTTGAAAAAGAAAATACAGAAATGGCATTCCTGGAATAATGCTAATAGAATTTATACAAAAAAAGGAAAGAAAGACTAAAAATATATAAATATTACCTCTAAGTTTAGTGTATTCTGAACAAGGTCAACTGTACTCTGCAACAGTTCTCTTCCCTTCACGAAAAAACAGGGTGAATCAACCTCAAAGATGGGAACAATCTAAGTACTGCAAGATATAACTTTGTCCATGGATTTATTTCTTGCCTGTTGAGTTATAAGCTCTGCAAGAGGCTTAGCATAAAATCTAGAATTTTGGAATCCAAGGCAACCATACATGCTGCATCAGAAATGATTCAAATTAGAGAACTAATGCAAGTCAAATGAGCAGTAACCAGCAAAAAGTTAGTTGAGAAAATTTTGGATTGGATTAGTTGGGCATGCATTTTGCTAGGATTATGATATTATACTTGGACATTTTGACCTCAAACTTGAAAGGAAAGTTTAGCTGAAAAGAAACGATTCAGTTTACAGAAATGCATGGCTATACACGCTTTTTTAGTAAACAATACATGTTAATTACTAGAACTAGAAGGCAGTTCAGCTTATTTGATATTCCGGTTCTCAAATCATACCGAAAATAACTGATATATTATGGCAGTTCCATCAAATAAATTCTGGACTGTTAGAAAATAGAATAGTGGATTGTTAAGTCATTAGTGTTGGTGGGTTATTGAGCCTAATTATTAAGTGTCTCCTTAATTTTAAGGAGTTTGTCTCCTTAATTGGTGGATTAGATTAGGCTTTACACTCCTATATATAGTAGAGTTATTCCTCATTTATAACACAATATCCTTTCTCTTAAAATTTTAATCCATATGCTCTTTTATTCTTGCTTCCGCTCCCATGGCAGATTATCTCTTCACCGAGCACCAGGGCTTAATTCTCTAGTATTCCGCAACAAGAATAGACACAATGGAAGTGCAAAAATGACCGACAAATACCTGTTTGCTGTCAATTTGAGTGCTTGTTGTTGTATGTCAAACCGCCGGGCCTGAAGACCAGATGCTGATTTTAGAGACTTTTTTGCCTCTTTTCTTCTATTAACCAAGAATTCTAGCAACTACAATGCATGTAGAGTACTAAAAGTTAAAACCCTCCAAATAATAAAAGCAGGAAAAAGTCGGCATCATACTCAAAATGAAGTAGAATATGTTTTTGTGAGGTCAGGAGAGTGGACAGAGTGGATATCCTACACTATGTAAGCCATGGGCTATACATGTAACAAGAGATGACAGAATACAAGTAAAACTCAGTTTATCACTAGAGTCCTGACATATTATTTAGAGGCACCAACATTTGACAATCTTGAAACATGTGTTTAGAGCAAAACCCAAAACAACATTAAGTTGATGCTAGCACAGATGCTTAGAGTTTCCAGTACTACATGACTGGCACTTACAGTACGCATGCATTAGCACATTGCATTATCAGACTCTACCAAAGTAATTAATTGATATTGAGCGGGCATCTTCAACACCGTACTTTCATATCTTATTTTTCATTTTCAAATCCCCATTTCTCAAGTAATATTACCAATAGAAGCATGTGCTTTACCTTTGGCAGAACTCCAGTGTCTTTACTAGATGGTAAAGAAGGAAACAAATCATCCTGAGATCTTTCAACAGTGGTGAAACAAATATTGTATTCCTGAAAGAGAGGGTGAGTTTCTTACAACACCTTGTAAAGAGGGGGTGGAAATCCAGCAGTAATTATGTTTTTAGAAGAAAAGAGGTTAGGGATTAAATGGAGAAATGCAAGGTTTTGACGTTTTATGCAAATTGTTTATGTAGGTTACCTGAATTATAGACGGGTAGAGACTGTTGAAGTCCAACAACAAAATGTACTTGTCATATAACCCTCTTTTTGGCTCCAAAACTAGACCTCCAGAATAGGCAGGCCCCTTTTTTGTTTTTCCAGACTCGATTTCAGAAAGGTCATTTCCAAAACTGGGGTCCTCAAGGTTGATTTCATCAGTTTCTTTTCCACCTCTGCCGTTTTGTTTACGCTTTGTCAATTTTGACTCCATTGTTTTAGACGAAATCTTATCTGGCACGATGAATTTCTTACTGTGGAATTCATGCAATAATAAATACTCCACTCTTTGGGCCCTTGCACCCTGAAATTTATAAATATTAATTTATTTACTATAATATTTACATGGTTGTTCTAATACGAACAGAAAGTGTAATAAAATGATTCACCTGGAGGGTTTTACACCAAAGATTACCGCTAATATTAGTCAGCTGAAGGGTGAGTGGAAGAACACTCAAATGAAACATGAGTTCCATGGACAGCCATGCATCTGTTTCTCCATATTCAATCTGCAAAATCAAATTAAATTGTCAGATAATGAA